TGAATAATATAACATTGTATATATACAACATTTTCCCATTCATCTGAAGATGAGCATTTTGGTTGATTTGATATCTTGGCTGGTTGAATAGTGCTGCAATAAACATGTGAATGTAGTTGTCTCTTCGGCATACTGATTTCAGTTCCTTTGGATGTATGCACAGTAGAGGGATTTCTGGATCCTATTGTAGTTCTAGTTAAGAGTTTTTGAGAAACCTCCATACTGTTTTCCTTAGCGGCTATACTAATTTACATTCCCAAGACTCAGTGAGAGTTCCCCTTTCTCTACATCCTGGACAGCTTGTTGTTGTTATATTATGACTTTTTGACAGTAGACATTCTTGTTTTTAATATTTTATCTTAGTTGTAGTTGGACACAATATCTTTATTTTATTTTTATGTGGTGCTGAGGATCAAACCCAGTGCCCGCATGTGCTAGGTGAGTGCTCTACCACTGAACCACAACCCCAGCCCTGACAGTAGGCTAAAATGATATCTCGGTGTGGTTTATTTGCATTTCCATGATGATTAGTGATGTTGAACATTTTTTTTATATACTTATTGTCCTTTTATATATCCTCTTTTAGGAAATCTCTATTCAGGTATGATGCATGCATATAATCCTAGTGACTCAGGAGGCTAAAGCAGGAGGATCTCAAATTTGAACCCAGCCTTGGCAACTTAGCAAGGCCCTGTCTCAAAATAAAATAGCCAGTGGTAGGGCTCTTGCCTTGCATGTTCAAGGTCCTGTGTTCTCTGCAAAGAGAGAGAGGGCAGGGTGTGGGGAGCAGGGAGGGAGAGAAATGTTTATTCAGGTCATCTTTGCATTTTTAAATCAGATTATTGAGGGTTTTTTTGCTGTTGAGTTGTTTTGTGTTTCTTATATATTCTGGATGTTAAACTTTCATTGATGAACAAGTTGCAAATATTTTCTCCCTTTCTGTAGGTTGTTTCTTCACTCATTGTGCAGGAACTTTTTGTTTGTTTTTTTGCAGTGCTGGGGATCAAACCCAGGGCCTCACACATGCTAGACAGATGCTTTTCCACTGAGCTACACCCCCATCCCAGAAACTTTTCTCTGACATTTCATCTCCTGTGCTGTCAATGGATTCTATTATTATAGCATCATGATTTGTTTGGGGCATTTTCTTCCCTTGTTTTTTCATGTTGTTCATGTGTCTTTCTCCTAGGTATTACAGTTTCTACGCTATAATTTGTAATATCTCTGCAGGTTACCAATACCTCACCTCTGGTGTAACCAGGCCTGTGGGGACCTTGGTGATGGTCTTCCCCGTCCTGGCTGTTGTCTCTAGACAGAAACAGGCCAGAACAACCACATGTTGGTAGATGGAGGGCCACAGTGCCATTGTTCTCCTCCTCTACGAGTGGGGCCGCATTGGTCTGCTCTGCCTCCTCCACTCCTTGGGCAGGGGTTTGGCTCCCAGAAGCTTTTTAGTCTGATGTAATCCCATTTGTCAATTTGTGCTTATGGGGTCATATCTAAAAAATATTTGCCCAGATGAATGTCCTAAAGCATTACTCCTATTTTCATAGTTTCAGGTCTTAAGTCTGATTCATTTTTGAGTTGATTTTTTTGTATGTGGTGAGAAATAGGAGTTTTGTTTTACTTTTCTGCATGTGCACATCCTGTTTTCCCAGCACCCTTTATTTCAACAGACTGTCCTTTAGATAATTTGTGTTCTTGCTGCTTTTGGTGGAAGTCAGTTGGCTGCAAATACCTGGATTTATTTCTGGGTTTTCTATTATGTTTCATTGGTCTCTGTGTCTGTTTTTATGCCAATACCATGCTGTTTGTGATTTTGATTTGCATTTCTCTAGTGACTAATGATGTTGAGCCAACCAGTCAACATAGCTTATCAGAATGTTAATTTGAACAAAGAATTTTTGTTAACTAGAGTCAATTTATCAAGGAACCTCTTCACTGTGACCCCTCGTATTCACCTTGTATACTTAGAATGTTTAAGCTCTAAAGGACCTTAGAGATTATCACAGCTCAGTAGGTATGTGTTTAAAGATGGAGGCACTTCCCTTGGTCCCTTTGCTTATGGAAAAGCTAGAATAAAACCCAGGGTCTCCTGATAACTGATCTCATGGGCTTCTACCACACATGCTCCCTTCACAATGCAGGGAGGATTACTCAAGTCTCCCACCTTTTCTGCCACAGGAGGTACCAGCTGCAGCGCATCGTGAATGTGGAGAAGCGTCAGGATCAGTTACGTGGCGGTCGCTACCTCTTGGAGCTTGAACTGCTAGAACAAGGCCAGCGCCTGGTGCGGCTCTCTGAGTACGTGTCCACACGAGGCTGGCAAGGTATTGATCCAGCTGGTGGGGAGGAGACCGAGGCCCGGAATCTGCAGGGCCTGGTCTGGAGCCCACACAGACGTCGGAGACATGTCCTGAATGTCCGGGATCCAGAGCCCAAGCTTTGCTGGCCCCAGGGTTTCTCATGGAATCACCGAGCTGTGGTCCACTTTGTCGTGCCTGGTAAGCCTCAGGAGGGTAGGGATCCTAATGATAATTATGAGCACCCAGATCTGTTTTCTCTGATTGAATCTCCCAAGAGTTTGTTGAAGAAGACACTTTATAATTAAGGAAATGGAGCCTCCCACACACAAAAAGGAATGAGCTTAAGGTTACATGACTGGTAAATTAACTAAGAATAGATGCTGACTTGTAGGCCAGTGCTCTTTCTTTCACACTAGGTTTCAGAACTGGATGTGATTATGAACTGAGATTGTTGAATAAATAAGATAAGGAGGATACTGTATACAATGGCTTTATTATTATTTATTTATTTCAGTGCTGGGGTTCAAACCCAGGGCCTCGAGCATGCTTAGCAATCACTTCACAACTGAGCCATATTCCCAGCCCTAGAGTGGTTTTTACTGATTTATTTGTTTCTTTTTGGTTCTGGGGATTGAACCCAGGGACACCCTACCACTGAGCCACATCCCCAGCCCTTTTTATTTTGAGACAGGATCTTGCTAAGTTGCCAAGAGCCTTGCTAAATTGCTGAGGTGGTACGGGGCTGGGGATGTGGCTCAAGCGGTAGCGCGCTCGCCTGGCATGCGTGCAGCCTGATTTCGATCCTCAGCACCACATACAAACAAAGATGTTGTGCCCACCGAAAACTAAAAAATAAATTTTAAAATATTCTCTCTCACTCTCTCTCTCTCTGTCTCTCACTCTCTCTTTAAAAAAAATAAAAAATAAATTGCTGAGGTGGGCCTTAAACTTGCAGTCCTCCTACCTTAGCCTACCAAGTGACACGGATTACAGGCGTGCACCACTGTGCCAGGTCCCACATGGTTTTGGTAATGAAAAGGGAAAACTTATAACAGGCAGGAGTATTACAGTGTTGCAGGAAAGGATAGAAGGGTAGTAAGATGGACAGAAAATAGGTCTGATGGTTAGCACATGGCAGGATTGCTAGGAGAGAGCTAATGATGAGCCCTAGCCCAAGGCCTTCTCTCAAGGGCCTTCTCTCAGGGTGTTCATGGAGCTGGATATAGAGGCCAGGTTACTCGTGAGCACTCCCTCTCTTTGGGTCTCTGCTCTTGCTAAATGATTTCCTTTAGCCACATTGTTCCCTAAGCAAAGGTCTAGTGGGGACTCCTGACTCACATTGGAGCTTACAGTGGAGATGATCATCTTTCACTTACCTATTTCTTTCTTCCTGCCTGGCCCACCGGGGCAGTGAAGAACCAGGCACGCTGGGTGCAGCAGTTCATCAGAGACATGGAGAACCTGTTCCAAGTCACCAGTGACCCACACTTCAACATCATCATCACTGACTATAGCAGTGAGGACATGGATATTGAGACAGCTCTGAAGAGATCCAAGCTGCGGAGGTGAGGAAGACCCCTGACCACGCCACAGCCTGGGCTGCCTCCTTCCTGAAGTCCTAGGCTTTATTCAGTCCAGTGCAGAGCCAGAAGTCCCACCCAGTCGCCAGCTTTTCCCCAAGGATTTAACCTGCTGATATGAACCCCATCCCAGGAACACTCCATCTCTTCTGTGCTAAAGAAGAGCTTTCCTCTTCCTCCAGGGGACCGCTGCAGATGAGTCCTAATCCTCAGCCCCTGCTTTCTCCTCTTCCTACAGCTACCAGTATATGAAGCTCAGTGGAAACTTTGAACGCTCAGCTGGACTTCAGGCTGGCATAGACCTGGTGAAGGTAATCAGTCTGGAGGGGGCTTAGGAGATATGATTAGAGACTGATTAAGAGGTAGAGAGGCATTTGAGATGTGTCAGATCCTGAAAAGGGAAGGGAATGGGGACACATTGGTGTTAGTCCCATAGTAATATTTTGTTACTGCAACAAAATACCTGAGAGAATCAACTTAAAAAGAAAGACAGGCTTGTTTTATCTCATTGTTTCAGAGCTTTCAGTTCACAGTCATTTGGCCCCATTGCCTTTGGTCCAGTGTTGATGCAAAACATCACTGTGGAATGAAGGATGCTCCTCACTTATTGGTGGCCAGGAAACAAAAGAGAGATACAAAGAGACCAGAGTCCTAATATCCCCTTTAAGGGCACTAGCTCCCCCCACACCAGGCCCACCTCCTAAATATTCTACTGACTTCCTATAGCGCTACGGATGGGCAACCAAACCTTCAGCTCGTGCATCTTTGAGGGACACTTATCCAAACCGTAGCAAGGAGCATTCTCCCTGCTATGCTGCAGGCCCAGGCCAAGTGTGGGACTAAGCAAATGACAATGGAGCATATGTCCAGAGTCCTCAGAGCCCACAAAAATTGGGGGGGAGTCAGAATTCACTATTGGATGGTAAGAACTCTGTTCTGATGCTCAGTAGTGTGGAAACCTGCCCAGTGGTTAGTTCTGTGCAAGTTTGTTAGTCATTCTAATAGAGAAGAGCCTGGGGATTCTCCTAGAATTCTCCTAGGATTCTCACCAGCCCTCTGCTGACCCTGCACCCTCCCCTCCCTTTTCTTTTCTTTTTTTTTTTTCCTTCCATGGCCATGCAGCTCTTGGTTAAAAGGGTTGCCAGTGGGAGGCAGGTGGCCCCAGTCGCGCACAAGCATGTACTCTGGCTCTGCAACCTGATCCCCAATGCAACGCACAGGCACAGCTGACCCTGCCCTTTCTGTCCCCAGGACCCACACAGCATCATCTTCCTCTGCGACCTCCATATCCACTTTCCCGCTGGAGTTGTTGATACCATCCGGAAGCATTGTGTGGAGGGCAAGATGGCCTTTGCCCCAATGGTGATGAGGCTGCATTGTGGGGCTACCCCACAGTGGCCTGAGGGTAAGCCCTGCTCTGAGCTAGGGAAGAGGAAAAACCTTTGTGGCCTTGGTTTCTCAACCTCAGAGCTGAAAACAGTCATGTTTGTGAACATCGTTATCCTCTTTTCCTGCCCTGCCCCCCCCCCATTATCTTTGAGCCTCCCGACAGTCCAGAGAGAAGTACCCCGAGCTGTGCTGACAGCCACAGCCAGAGATGCAGCAGTGAACATTTCCCACCCATCTTCCCCTTCATTCATTTGCCAAACATTTATTAGAAATTTACTGTGAGCTGCATGCTGTGCCCCTGTGAGGATATGAAGGTGGGAAGAGGTCCCCTGCCTGTGAAGAGGAAAATGGACCAGTAAACTGACCTGCAGCTGTGTGTTGTGTGGCTGCTGTTGTCAGATCCTGTCATCAGCCTGTGGTCAGTGCTATATTTGGTGTACCCTAACCTTGGTTAGAGGGCTTCTGCCCAAACAGGCAAGGGACCTGTTCAGTTAAGACAGCATTCAGCTTTAGTCACCCCCACCCTCCCTCTTTCAGAAAAGCCTCTAAGAGCACAGCCCAGAAGCCTTTTGCATTTCTTCCTTCTGACCTTGGCTCATCTCACCTGGAGCTTCTTGTCTGTCCACAGGCTACTGGGAGGTGAATGGATTTGGGCTGCTTGGCATCTACAAGTCAGACCTAGACAAGATCGGGGGCATGAACACTAAGGAGTTCCGAGACCGCTGGGGTGGAGAAGACTGGGAGCTGCTGGACAGGTGACTAGGGAAAGGAGGGCATCCAAGACATCTGCTGGAATTGCATTCCATATTGTGCTCTAAGGAAGGAACAGAGCTGGATCACCCAGCTGGGCCCCTTGGCTGCTGATTTCCCAATGGACAAGTAAAAGGCATGGGTTCTGAGGAAGCTCTCAGGTGACTGCCTCACACACACTCTGTAAGCTAGCAGAGAGGGATGATACTCCTGCTGTCTGTGTCACAAGGCTGCTGTGACAATTAAACTGCTCAGTAAACTGTCAGAGGAAAAGCAAAAACAGTTGATCTGTAAAAATTCAAGTGGTAATAAAAATTCAAGTGGTAATGTTCTCAGCACCAGGTGAGGCGCTCTGGCGAATATCACTGCCTCATCCCTAAACGGGGGTAGATCTCCCCACCGCAGCTGCCAGAGGCTGTGTGGAAGTAGATAAGGGAGACATAGGCCAAGGGTCAGGAAAGACTTTGGGGTTCACAAAAGAAGCATTGAAGGGCTACAAGATATCCAGGAGGTTGTGGGATTTGGGAAGTCAGTGGGGGAGGAGATTTAGAGAAGAGGTAATAACCTCAGAGAAGAAGGGGAACATAGGAGAACACAGTACAGGCTGTAGACGTGGTAGGAGGGCTGGGAGCGAGTGTTTTAATAGGGAGCCAGATTGTGCAGTGAGGACTGGGGATGTGGCTCAGAGGTGTGTACCTGGCACACATGAGGCTGATGAGGCTGTGGTTCATGCTTTGGAATGGCAAAAAAAAAAAAAAAAAAAAATGTGCAGTGACATCAGGTTTAGGGGAGGAAGGAACATAGGGGCAGTGAGGAAGTTGCTGCCTATAATTGCATGATATTCCTCTTTTAAGAAGTTTGCTGCTAAGAGAAAGGGAAGGAAAGAGGTACCTTGAGAGTTGAGCTTAAGAGGAGAAAGAGGGGGAGGAAAGGGTTTAGTTACTGGAAGGGTGACTGGAGAAGGAGGACAGGGCAAAGTCAGGAGCACCTGGGGCAGGGGACCTTGACAAAGGCATGCACTTCTTCCTGAGAGATGGGACAAGATGTAGCCACCAATCACTGAGCACCTGTACTTGGCAGGTGACTCACACGTTCCTTTGTTTCTCTCTCCCCAAACCCCTGTGTGGTAGGTGTAATTTTCTCCATTTTTCAAAGGAGAAAACTGAGTCATGAAGAGTAGGTAATAACTTGCCCCAGATCTTTCCCATTTAAGTGTCAGAAGCTTAAAAACTAGGCTGTGTGTGATTTTCCCCAAGATGGAAGGTGACAATACCGAGAGAACTGAAGGTGGAAAGGGGGATGTTGAGGGATGTTATGTCAGATAACTCAGATCTTAGAAAACTAGATCAAAGTTGATCTCAAAAGTTGGGAAGCCCAGTATAGTGGTTACTATCACCCTTGATCTTTGTGCTGTGCTTTGTGTGTTTGTGTGGGGGGGGAGGGGGTGGGTTGTTGTTGTTTTGGGGGCATTTCTTCCCCCCCCCCTTTGCAGTGCTAGGGATAAAACTCAGGACCTCACACTTGCTAAGCAAGCACTCTACCACTGAGCTACCTCCCCAGCTGTTTTTATTTTATATTGAGACAGGATCTGCCTAAGTTATCAGGGCTAGCCTTAAATTTGGGATTCTCCTCCCTCAGTCTCCACAGTCTCTGAGGTCATAGGTGTGTGCCACTGTGCACCCAGCTGGGCTTTGTGCTTTGACACAAATGTCTGTCATGATTCTTAACTTGCATGCTTCCTTTAAGGCCCAAAGAGAATGAATCTGTTTCCAATTCTAGCTACTTGCAGCTCTGCCAGAAGTGCAGGCCTCCTTGTAAAAGGGTCACCCAATGGGCTATGCAAATAGAAAAGGAACAGGGAGGGCTGGAGATGCAAGGGGCCTGGGGTTCCATCACCAGCACTGAAAGAAAGAAAGGGGGGAGAGAGAGAGAGAGAGAGAGAGAGAGAAAGAAAGAAAGAAAGAGAGAGAAGGAACAGAAGCAGGGCCTGGGGATAGAATCTCCAACTCTAGCCCTTTGACTCTCTCAGATACTACCATGAGTGCCCTGTGAGCTGAAGTGCTGTTACTAGGCACTTAGTATGTATCAGGAACTATGCTTCACCTCCATCATATCTACTTACGTGTATTATATTATGTATAATATGTATGTATATGTGTATGTATATTGGAAGTAAGTGGTGAAGGCTAGAGATGATGGATGCAAATAGCACATATATTTATAAAATTGTTATCCTCTTTCTAAAGATAGCAAACAGGTTCTGACAGGTGACGTGACTTGCTGGGATTCTAACACCAGCAGCTGGGCTTCAAAGCCTGAACTCTTTCCACTACACCCAACTTCCTCTGTTCCACGGGAGGTGACCATGGGAAGGAGGAACAGGGTCTGACGTAGATGTGAGAGGGTCAGTTCCTCAGGGGCCCACGCTGCTTCCCAGTTGCTGTGTGTGCTTCCGTGGGCTCATCCTGCCCCTCCCTCTTTCAGGATCCTCCAAGCAGGCCTGGAAGTGGAGCGTCTTTCCCTCAGGAATTTCTTCCATCATTTCCATTCCAAGCGAGGCATGTGGAACCGACGCCAAATGAAGATGCCGTAATCCCTGGAGCCACGTGCAGCTCCTTGACTTGCTGTTGTTCCCCAGCGCCCCTGCTCGCTGCTGGAGAAGGGGAGGGCAGGGAGGCAGAAGCGATGGCTAGGCCCCAAGAGGCCTCAGAGCCAATTACCTTTTCCACCGGGAGCTGTCCCCTCATGCAGAGACAGGTGCCAAGACTCCTCTGCCACTCACTCAGTCAACAGAGAGAATGGCTCCTGAGACAGATGGGGCAGCCAGGTCAAGGAAGGATAGACCTGCTTGAGCAATACTGTTGTTATCCATGAAGGTGCATTCCAGTCACCCCCCATGCTCCTCCTGGGAGTATTGGACATTGAAACTGGAAACTTCTGCTGGACATATTTTAATGGGGGGTTTATTTTTTTAACCAGAGAACCAAAACTGCTGTTCAGACCCAGCATTGACTGCGAATGGGGTGAAGTTGTACATTGAAGGAGTAATCCCAATCGCAGATCCCAGATCCATTTGTGTGTAGAGATGTGTCCCTAGGGCACTGTCCCTTTCAGAGGTGCTGGCCACACGTGGAGCAGGTCTAGCTCTAGCCCAGGCTTGTGCCTTCTAAACACACATACATTTCTCCTGGTAGCCACTGAACCGCAGGCCGTCGATTAGGGCATTAACCTAATCCCTCCAGGTGGCACTAACTTCAGACCGGAAGCACAGAACTGGCAGCCAGGTCCAGGTACAAAGGTGGGGTTGGGAGATCGGGAACTAATGAGCATTGGGCTTACCTTGCCCAGTGTTGGACATATGGGCCATGCAGAACCCACAAGGTGAAAAAGACCAGAGACAGATGCCCCTTCCCTTCCCAGCTCACCTGTGAGATAAGGCCTTTGGAGAGGATAGAGGCAAGCAAAGAGGATATGGACATAATCCATCAACTTTGTGTAGATGAGAAGAGGAGGCAGAAATCAGGCAGAGAGGGATGGAAAGGGAAGTGGAAAACTTGAATCCCAGAAGCCCAGCTCCCCTATGAATTTGCCCTCCTACAGGGAGAGCCCCAGCTGCTTGGCCCTGAGGAGAAGACGAGGAAGGGGTGTGGGTGAAACCCCAGATCTCGAGACAGGAAGTGGGCAAGGCAAGAGGTGTGGGGAGCTGAGGGTATTGTCCTGAAAGGTATCTTCCCCAAGGGGAGGGGAGCAGGAGGAACTGAAAAGTAAAGCAGTTTCAGGGAAAATCACCCTTGGCCTTTTCAGTCTGCGACCACCCTTTATGTCACCTGATGATCATGCACTTATCTTGCACTAATAATCCCCGGGTACTTTTGTGGCTGGGGACTTTTCTACTGCTGCTGTTGAATTCACCAATGGTGCATTGGATGCTGGATCTTGAACTCCAGAGTCTGTGGACAGAGCTGAGCACAGGGCCTCCCTGTTGGGAGGTGCAGCGGGGCCCAGGAGCTCCGTGCTGTGACAGTCTACATCACAACGTTCAGAGCTAGGGTCTACCTGGTGGGCTCTGCATTCACCAAGAGCAAAAC